ACATGCCTCATATAATGTCCTTGAGTGTATGTCTTAAAAACTATAATAAAACCGTTTAAATGTATTTTATTGAAATTTGAATCAAATAACTTGGGAACCGTTGGCTCCAGCCTAACACGACTTGGAAATGCACTTGTGTGTGTAGTATAGTCTCAAGGAAGAGAGAGTGAGACTGACAGATATGACCTGCTCAAGTCACACACTAATTGGCTGTCCCGGTCTTGTTCCCTGCCCTTGACACAAGAGGAGGCAGCACTGGAGAAGAACCGTTGAACACCCGCACGTGGACAGGTGACCCCGTGGGAGGATGACAGAGCTGAGAACAAAGTCATCCTTCCCTCCTGCCACCACCCGGTCTTCATTGTTCTCTTTCTCTTAAACCAAGAGCTGCAGCCCAGAGCTCCTGACTGCACCCCCCAGGAACAGAAGGTCCATGGGAGTTGGGGCTTACAGTGGACTTGGCAGAATGGCTGGCAGTGAGTGACAGCTGGACAGTTGGAGGTTCTGGGTCTCCGGTCAAGGGCCAAGGCACCTATTCCTCGGGGAAGTCAAGGTTAGACAATCTGATGCAAGGTGGGAGAGACCCAAAGGCCACAGACTCCTTTATAAAGTGCCCAAGGGAGGACGCCCCTCAGTGTCCTGGGTGGCCAAAATTGCATAACCTTGACCCGCCCAGCCCCTGGCCTCACGTCTATCGCACACAGCAGCATATGGGGTCCCAGAGCTGCCTCCCCTGCCAGCTGGGGCTGTTCCTTCCTGATGGCTTAGCTTCTGTGACTCCAGGGGAGAGCCTGGCCTCACGGCGGAGCGGAAGCCACACAGCAGTCCGGGCTCACTCACCGCTGCCAGCAGCCTCTCTGAGCGCCCTTCAGCTGTGCACCGGCCGGGGTTATGATCCCCCAACCTGTGGCAGAGGGTGGGGGCGGGGATCGGGAGCTACGGGGGGCCTGGGGCGTTGAACACCTCACCTTCGTTCACGGGGGAGCTCCTGCGGGGCAGAGGCTCAGACCCAGGCCTGATTGTCCACACAGCCACACCTTGTCTCCTGCTGCCCCTGCCGAGTTGAACCTGCTGGGTGTCCCGGGCACCTGCCTTGCTCGGCAAATTTCCTTATCTCTGCCACAGACGAGAACAACCCTGTCCTCAAAGGGACGGAGGAGACAGGGACCCTGGCTCTTCGTGGAGGTGACTTTGGACAGTCTCTGAGAAGACACACTCCGTGAACGCTAAAGCTTTGCTCCTGAGGCAAGCCCAGCCTGTTCTCTGTTGCTGTCGCAGAACATTGGCACTGCCTGAGTTAGAGAACAGAAGGCGGGGCTGGTGCTGGGCACAGCAGGCAAAACTGCCGCCCGCAGCGCCAGCTTCTCATACGGGTGGGCGCCAGTTTGAGTCCCGGCTGCTCCTTGCTAATGCGCCTGGGAAAGCAGCAGAAGGTGGCCCAAGTGCTCGGGCCCCTGCACCTGTGTAGAAGACCCGGAGGAAACTCCTGGCTCCGGGCTTTGGATTGGCTCAGCTCCAGCCATTGCAGCCATCTGGGGAGTGAACCAGCAGATGGAAGACCTCTCTCTACCTCTCTCTCTCTCCCTCCCTCTCTCAACTCTACCTTTCAAGTAAATTAAAAAAAAAAATAGAAGATGGTGCATGGGGTTTAAGTCACTGCTCGGGATGCCCGCAGCCCATGTCCAAGTGTCAGGGTTCGAGTCCCGGCTTTGCTTCCAATTCCAGCTCTCTGCTAATGCACGCCCTGGAAACAGCAGATGATGGCTCAAGGACATGGGTCCCTGCCACCCTCGTGGGAGACCCGGGTGGAGCTCCTGGCTCCTGGCCTTGGCCTGGCCCAGCCCTGGCTGTTGTGGGTAGTTGGGGGAATGAACCAGCAGATGGGAGATCTCTCTCAGTCTGTCTCTCTGCCTTTCAAAAAAAAAAAAAAAAAAAAAAAAGACTAGAAATTCATTTTGACTCCCGGTTCCGGGGGCTGGGAAGTCCAAGGACAGGGCACTGACTCCGGGTCTCACGAGGGGTCAAGAAGACACGGAGTGGGAGGAGCTGCCTGTCGTGCCTTATCACAAGCAGCTTCCCGAGGAGGATGACCCCTCGTGCTGACCTGGATGACCCCTCGTGCTGACCTGGATGACCCCCTCGTGCTGACCTGGATGACCCTCCGTGCTGACCTGGATGACCCCTCGTGCTGACCTGGTCCCTCCTAAGCATCCCACCCCCCACACCACGCGGTGGCACTGGACTTCCACGCGGTGTCAGCAGGGACCCAGCAGAGCAGCGAGACCCGAGGTCAGGCTCCTGCCAGCCAGGGCTGCCGTGTGGAACGTTTGGTGTGCGCTTCTGGTAAAACAACAAAAAGAAAAACCTTCTTTAAGTGTCCTTTGAAAAATGGAGAGAAACTCAGAGAGCGCTTCCATCTGCTGGTTTGCTCCCCAGGTGCCCGCAACAGACGGGACTGAGCCAGGAGCCAGGAACTCCGCCCTAGTCCCCCACGTGGGTGGCAGGGACCCAGTCCCTGGAGCCGTCACCGCTGCCTCCCAGGGTGTGCATTTGCAAGGAAGCTGGAGTCAGGAGCCAGGGCCGGGGATCGAACCCAGGCGCTCAGGAGCTGAACCGTGAGGCTACACAGCTGCCGCTTCCTTCCCCTGTATTTATGGTTCTTTCACTTTAAGCTGACGTCCAGTGGCTCTGTGATTTCGGCCTGGACTCAGGAGTGCCCCATGCCCAGGGTCCTGAGTTCTCACCAGCCATGCCCCGAACTGCAGAAAACGTGGCGCTGAGTAGCCACGTGGACCCTTGGTTACTGCAGGAAAGCCGAGTTGGGCAGGCGGAGCGGGCCGCCTGCTTGGCTGCAGCCGGGAGTGTGTGCATTGGGCGCCAGGCCGCTTCTAGCCCTAGATGACCATGAAAGCCCCCCCACCCCCGTCTGAATTCTGGGGTTACCCCTAAGCTGCCGTGAGTAGAACTGCCAAGTACGGAACGGGAGCACCTGCAGGCCCGGTGTGGGTGGCCACGGAAGACCGAGCTCCCTGTGGGCGGCGGCCCCCGGCCGCACGGAACCCCCAATGAGCAGCGCGGAACTTGGCCCGGAACCGGCCCTGCACACTTGCGTGAGTGCGAAAGGGCAGGGCCCAGTCTCTGACCGAGGGGGAGAAGAGGGCTGTCCCCCCTCCAGGGTGCAGAGCTGCCTGGGTAGGGCCTGGCCACCTGCGGCAGCTGCTCGAGGCAGGCCCTGAGACGGAGGCCAGCGTGCTCACTCCACTTCCTCTGCACTGCAGCGCACGGGCAGGCCGGCAGCCCCTGCGGAATCGAGTGCCGAGCCACTTTCTGGCCATTAATCTCCAAGAGTCTATCAGGACCATTTGCATTAGCCCATCTGAAAAACCCCAGCTGGGCCCACGGGCTCGAAGCTGTGGCTCCGTGGTGTCCGGTGCCCCCTCGGACCAGGCTCCCCCAGGGTCCCCACTCGGGACGGACACGGGAGACAGGCAGGCCTCCGGCCTGACTCGAGGCTGGCGTTATGGACGGAGGCTGGTTGGTTAGAGAAGCCTGCAAGCCAGGGACAAGCTTTAGGGTGGGAGCGGCCTTGCTGGACACGGAGCGGCCAGCCCCGCCCCGCCCCGCACACAGCCAGCCCTCTCGGTGATGACCACGCAGCTTTCTTAATGGAACGCGACCGCCGAGCCGGGTTCCTTGCAAGCACTTCAACCTTGCAGGACATCAGACTGCTGAGGAAAACCTCTTCCGCAGGCGCCATGGTAATGAGAGGCCAGATTTCAGCCGCTTGCAAACTTTCCCCCGCCTCCTGGCCAGCACCCCCCACCCCCCCAATAAAAGACTGCATCAGAGAGCGAGCGAGCGAGATTTCCATAATTTATAGTATGGGCATTTCACTGGGGACAGCGCTAATCTGTACTTACCGATACATTTAAGAAAATGCATCCTCCCGCAAGCCCGTGTGCCATTTATGACTCTTGGCACAAACCGCAAAGCTCAGTCTTCAATTAAGGGACACCTTAGGGTTCATTATCACACAATCGCTCCCTGTGAACCATGCCAAATGCTGTTTTGGCACGGAGCTTGGAAGATGAATTAGAAGGAAGTCCTCCCCGTAATGCCCTCTCCCCGCTCCCATTACCGCCATCAGCGAGCGCGGCCTGCCTGGCCCGGCCCCCACCCATGGCTTTCACTGTTCAATTTCTCAACGTCAAACTCGATTCTCTAGAGGTGTAGTTAAAGATGCCACATCTCCTGCCTGTCTTCCGGCTCCCGACAGGCCCGCGGCGGCCGCAGCTGGGCCGCCCTGCTCGCCCCTTTTGGGCCTCCAGGAGCCACTGATCTGTTTTGCCTCCCCGCAGTGTCGGGACCCAGGCGGGGCTGTGTCTCTCAGCTCACACACGCACACGCATGCATGTACGCGTGAGGCCAAAGGAGAAGGCGGGCCAGGCTCGGGAGCTGGAGGGGGAGGAGAGAGAAGTAGGGGCTGACCTCTACTCCTCCACACCTCTCCAGGCCTGGGCCCTGTTGTGTGTGTCCCGAAACCACAGGACTCCCCGAACTTAAAGCCTGTGGACAAGGACACCCTGCTTCCACCACGGGCTGGCTCCGCCCAGCTCTCCTAGCGACACAGTTCCCCGTTGTGGGCACAGGACCACACCACACCACCGTGGCAGCCACAGGTGAGTGCTGGGGCCGGGGCCGGGGGCGCCCAGCCAGGGGCACACAGGCCAGGCTGAGAGGATGCACCTGCACGCGCCAGGGAAGGGGTCAGGGACACGCCACGGACTTGTCACTGGGCACGGTGCCGGCCTGGCCGCGCTCCCTCCAAACCCTCCTCCAGCTCCACCTGGTGCCGGCGTCTCTGCTCCAGGGCAGAGCGTGGGCCGGGCCACCCACCGAGGGCCACCGAGAGAAACCCAGAGGCCGGTGGGGACACGGAGCGGAGTCCCCGCAGGGGCTCCGAGGGGCCAGCGGAAACGAGCAAACGCAGAGACGGGAAATACTTGGCCCACAGACGGCTTGTGGGAATTTTATTATATAGAGTGTAAAATGAATTGTCAGTCAAATAAAAAGAACACTTTTAAAACAACATGCATAACATTTTCCCAACTGCCATTTTTAATAGTTAGACATTTCAAGCATTATAAGGAAAACAAGGAGAAAACCCAGCACGTCTCAAACGGAATGTTGTTCCCTCAGGTCAATGAAAAATCCAAGAAAAAATAGCTTCAGTTCCGTTTTTTCCTTTAAAAATACATGTTATCTGTACAAGAACACTACAGTAAACACTGGAAATCATATCCCTTTTATTAAATCAAAAATTATTTAATTCATACTGTGGTTAATACTAGATTTATTTATTCATCTAGTTAATCTGACAAATATTAAGAAAATATTTAAAAGGAAGAAGCAAAGAAACACCTTGGAATTAAAAAATAGTTACTACATTTTATACGGTTTAAGGTTCCACAGTGTCTGTTAAAAGTTATATTGAATTTCTTTTTAATATTAAAAATAACAGTATTTATACTTCTGAGAGAATAGAGGAAGGTTTCTGTTTTGTTTCTAACACAAGCTTGGAGGTCTTAGATACACAACTGCAACCGGCCACGGAGACACGGGAACAACGCACGCAGCGGGGACGCACTGACACCACCGCCTCACGGCGCCGCGAAGTCTGCAAACCCAGAAGACGCCCCGCCCATGGACAGCGCTACAATGATCTGTCTCGATTCAGAATTCACATAATTAATTACAATACATAATAGTTCAGTTTTTAAAAAATGCAATAAAACCAGACAGCCAAGATACAAGAAATTAGAAGTAAAACATTTAATGAATTTACACATTTAAGAATATTTAAATACTGCTTAAAAATTTTTAAAAAAGAATTTGTTACATACCACCTAAGACTTCCAAGCCACTTTCTGTTGCAACAGAAAAAAACTGTAAATAAAAAGACGGGAAAGAAACCGAAACGAGACAAAAAACACCATCCTGAAATGTCCCGCGGAGGCCCAGGGCACCGGCGCAGGCACCGCCCTGCGGGAGCCGCGCTCACGCGCTCGACGGCAAACAAAATGATGACACAGAAATTATCAGCAATTTTTAGTAGCTAATTTTCTCGATTTTTAGAAAAATTCTGTTAATCTAAATATAGTGTTTCACAGAAGAAAACAAAGGTTCTTCATCAAAAGGTTTGCAAATCTGAAAACCTCTGTGGCAAACAGGCTTTCACACTGATTCCGGGGAGAAGCCAGGCAGGGCGCCCCTCTACTGCTCCTGCGGGAGGAAGGGGAGCAGCCGTGAGCCAGCGCCCGGCCCACCCTCATCCCGTCCCCGGCCCCGGCCAGCACCGCCCCCGGGGCGCAGGGCACGGCATCTGCCTGGGCCAAACCCCTTGGAGGGCAGGCCTGGGGCCTTTCTTCCTGCCGGGGACACTGGGCAGGGGGCCGGGAGGGGCGTGAGCCACACTCGTCCCGGTCACTGCCAGCCCGACCCACGGAAGTTTCCACCAAGGGGCAGAGGGAAGCGGCTGTCCCTGGGGACCTGGCCGGCATCCGTCACCTGAAACACGCCTGTGGGGACACTGGGCTCTCCCCACTTCAATGGACTCTCACCGGACAGGGCGCCCTACTCCATCTTGCCCTGCCCAGCCGCAGGCACGGCCTCGCCCGCCCGCTGCCCCCCGCTGCCCGGGGCAGCACTAGCCTGTCCAGAGAGGCGGCCGCATGCTGGGGACGGGCTACAGACCTGGCTGTGGGCCTGAGCTTGCCCTAGCGTCTGCCCGTAGAAGGCGACCTGCTGTCTGTAGTACTCTGCCCAGGCCATCGTGTAGTCTGGCGGGGAGCTGGCCTGCGGAGCGGTGCTGGCTGCGTGACCTGGTGACACAGGAGAAACGCGTTACTCGGGAGCGGCGGCCCCCGACGGGCAGCTGCCGGCGCGGCCGGGCCCTCTGCGCCCTGGAGACTCCTCCTCCGCTCGCCTTCCCTGCTTCTGCCTGCCCGGCCCGCTGCTCCCAGGCTCGGCCTAAATCCGCGGGCGGCTCCCTCCTCAGGCCCGCATGCCCACACCCTGCACACACAGGCCCTGCGCGCCCCTGAAGCTGGCCCAGCTCCGACAGCCTGGTCGGAAGCCAGCCACCGGCGTCACCGCGGCCTCGGGTGCGCTCCCGAGGGCCACGGCTTCCCTTGGGAGCCGGACCGTGGCCCACGCCCCTCGGGGCCAAGCCTGCCTCCACCACAGCAGTGGGGAGGGGACGGAGGTAAGCGGGTTTGGTCACACAGGAAGGCGATGCAGAGCCGAGAGCCAAGGCTGGCGCCGGGCACTCACTCTGCTTTTTGTAATAGTCCTCCCAGGCCTTGCTGTAGTCGGGCTGGCTGCTCTGCGGCTGGCTCGGCTGGCCTGTGTGAATACAAGAGCAGTCAGGCCCCCGGCTTCCTCACCGCCTGGGCCCCATGCGACCGCACCCTGCAGCAGCCCAGGGAAGGCGGCAAGGCTGGCCCGAGCGCCCAGCCCCCTCAGAGAGAGAGGCGAGCGGCAGGCCAGCTGGGTGCCCCGGGCCCCTCGGACGGGCCTGCGACTGGAGAGGGTGCTCCCGGCCCTCGGATCCAGGGCGACGGCTGGGCCTCTGCACCAGCAGGGTGGCAGGGAACAGGCAGGGCGACTGTGTGCACTGCAGCCACGGTGGGGGCCACGGCGGGAAGGTGAGGCCCCCAGAGCAGGGGCCGACAGCACCTCACCCCCAAGCGGCTGCGGGCTTCCTCAGGCAGGGACAGGCGGCCCAGTGCCGAGACCTGGGGTGGGCGGCAGCCCATGAGGGTCAGGACCCTTCCTTGTGCCAAGGCCACGGCTGGCCCACAAACGCCCTCCGATGTCTGCTTCCCTTAGAGCCGCCGTCGGCAGCAGGAGGCAGGACGGGCTGCTCTCAATACAGCTCCTGGCAGAGGCTGGCTCTGAGGACGGGGTGGGGGGAGTCGTCAGCCCCCACGCTGGGGGCCAGGGAGGAAGCGTGGAGAGGGAAGCCCCGAAGGAGGGGCTGGCACAGAGTAGGCTGAAAGACCAGGATGAGCAAGGGGCGGGGGCGGCACCAACTCTGACACGGGCAGCGGGCAGGAGGCCCCCGGAATACACAGAGCAACGCTCACAAGGCGCAGGTGCGTCCCGACGGGCCGCTCTGGACTCAACCCCTGCCAATGCCCTCCGATCCCAACAGCGCCTGGCGCTCTGGCACTGACCCTGCGCTGTGAGCACGCCACCCTCGGGGAGCGAGGAGTGAGGCGGAGCCGGAGGGGCCACAGCCGCACAGCGGCGCGTGCAAGATGTCCCACCGAGAATCCTGGACACCCACCCTAAGCCCACCCCTGCCAGCAGAGGAGGGAAGGTGCCTGAAGCTCAGGCAGACGGCTCAGGAGGGTGGGAGAAGCCCAGAGACACGGGCGGTGGCGTCCACTTCACTGACAGCGCAGCCTGAGACCCCCAGGACCCCCAGAGCTCGACGGGGACGGGGACAGGGAGCAGGGCGAGGGCTTGAGCCCAGCATTCCTGGCGGTACTGCTCGGCAGAGCCAACTCCGCTTTCTGGGAAGTTCGGAGCAGAGACCCCTGTTTGAGGAGACGCTGGGAGAGCAGGGCGCGGCGGGACACAGCTCCAGCCAGGCAGAGGCCGCAGCACCCCGACATCTCTGCGGCGGACACTTCCTACTGGCCAGGCCTCCCGGGAGGGTGTGCACACCCATCCTCCCGAGTCACTTACTTGGGACCTGCTGTGTGGGCTGCTGCCACGCCTGGTAGGTGCTGCCCCAGCCCTGCGTCAGGAAGGCCGGAGGACCACTGTGGACGACAGAGAGTCACTCACTCCAGCATGGGACAAGTCCCCCCCACCTCCCTCCGGGCCCGCCACACACAGCGCCCCTGCCTGCGGGTGCAGAGGGCTCACCTACCTCACGGGGGCGCTGTGCGGGTTTCCGTTCACTTTAGCAGCCATGTTTGGAAAGCACCCTGAGCTCCTGGGAGGGAAGGAGCTGAGAGACGAAAAGAAACCGGAGTCGGCCGGGAGCCCAGGCCTCCGCAGGACGCCCCTCCACCCGGGGGGACCAGGCCAGCGAGCTGCAGGCCCCGGCGAGGGGAGACCCTGCGTCCCGCCCGCTGGAGAGGAGGCGGAGACTCTCCGGAGGAGTGAGCTCCTCCACACACGTGCAAGGGACTCACTTCTGGTGGGGCGCGGTGGGCGGCTGGCCGAACGGGCTCTGTCCGAAGGCTCCTGGTGCTCCGAGACTGGTACCCTGCACGGGCACAGAGAGGGCCCTCACTTCCTGCCGGACGCACGCACCTCTGCCCTCTGCCCGGCCCCGCCCCAGGCCGACTCCAGCTTCCGGGGAGATGAAGGCGAGGCGGGAAGAGGCCTCGCACTCACGCTAGCCTTCCTTCCCGCGGCGGAGGGGTCTGCAGAGGCGGCTCCGCCCCCGCCGCGGCCCTGGCGCGCCACCCTGGGCGAGGGACCAACCTGCTGACTCTCCGTCAACTCAGGCTGGCCCAAGGCTCTTTCTGCCATTCTACGTCCCCCTTGAGGTGAGCAGTGGCCAATCTGTGCTCCATCAACACTCCCTTTCTTTATCTGCTTTGAGGCGCCTGAAACTAAAGCCAGAGTCAGTGAGCCCTGCCTGCGGGGGCGCCGGGTGGGCGTGGGGAGGCTCTGCCCTGCTCATCTAAGCCTGCGGGGCGCGGGCGGGGCCCACAGCTCCTGCCAGAGCTGCTCTGGCCGCTCCGGAGCCGGGCCTGGCCTTCCTGGGTCTCCTGCCTGCCCCCTGCCACAGCGTGGCGGGGCGGGGGTGTGTGTGCGGCCCTCATGCAACACGAGCACAGGAAGGCACAGAAGTACAGGGCTCTGGGGAGCACAGGCACCTCGGACGTGCAAGAGAAAGCGCGGCGACGGTCAAGGCGGCTGGGGAGGGCCCTGTACGTACGCCCACTTTCTCGTCGATGAGGTGTCTGGCCGCCTCGATCTGCTGGGGGACGCCCCGGATGGTGAAGACCCGCAGGGTGGGGTCCGTGTTGGGAGGGGGGTTTCGCTGAAGCTCCACGTGTGCCCCCGACTGCTGGTTGATGCTTTTGATGTTCTCACCCCCTGGAGGCCGAACAGAGGAGGTGTAAGTGGCAACCGAAGCTTGGGTGGGTCCTCTGGGGCCATCAGCACCGGCCACCGGCTACAGCTGGCTCTCGCCAGGAGCAGGGCACTCTCGCTTGCAAAAGCAGCTGTGTGGCGTGCCGCTGGCCTCGCCCAGAGCCAGGCTGCGCTTGGACACCACGTGGCAGCCACAGGCTGTGTGCTCCCCAGGGCCAGGGCCCGAGAGCTTTCTCAGCACAAGAACGGCAACCGGACGGCCCCTCCCTGGCACAACGGAGGCCTTCACTGGGCACAGGCCAGGGCGCTCTGCCCCTCTACGTGGTCAGACAGCCAGCCACCGGCCCGGCCCCAACAATGCCCAGAGTCCTCTCTGTGGGAGGGGTGAGGGGTGGCTCTAGACAGGCCTGGGTGGGCCGTGCTCTTTGAAAAACCTGCAGGAGTTCCAGTCTCTTAATGAAATTTGTGTCACAAAAGCTTCCCTGGGGTAACAATGGTCTGCTGCTTCTTGTGAAATTCACACACGTTACAGATCAGCTCTGCTCAGCTGGGTAGGGGCAGAGGGAGGAAAACTTAAGAGCACCGGACACTTGCGAGACCAAAAAATGAAAATCAGTCACACCTGGGACAGGGCAGCAGGCGTGCCAGGCGAGGGCCTGTGGGGGGCTGGCCCTCCCTGCACGCCGGGAACACCCCCTCAACCCTGCCACACCCCCACGGCTGAAAAGCTGCACCTACACGGCCCACCAAAAGACATCCTCAAAGGACGCCGGCCTCCTACAGGGGCCCAGCCTGGGTGTGCTCGTGCCCAGAAGGCAGCACCAGCCAGTGAGTGGGGCGGGGGCGGGGGCGGGCACACACAGCATCTAAACATGGCTCTGCTCAGGGTCAGCTGGGGCGGTGTGTTGGCTTTAGTTCACCGAGGTTTTCAATTTAAAGGCCAATCAGAAGAGCAGGCTGCCTCCTCCACCCTGCCAGACAGGCGTGTCTTGGGGACAGCACACGCCCAGCGCCTCTCTGGCCCTTCACTAAGATGTCACAGCCTCACCATTCCTGTCCCAGGCCAAGCGAGCAGCTTCGCCCCTGGGCAACAGAACAAAGTGTGGATGAGCCACTGCCACAGCACACCCAGCCCTCAGATGCCACCTGTCTGCAGGCAGGAGCAGAGGGCGCCGGCCTCCCGCCCCTCCAGCACGGGACTGGCAGCCCCGAGGCCCTCTGCCTGGAGGCCTTGGGAGCATGCTAATAAGGCGAGGAGGCGCCACAGAACCACATGGGGCCGGAAGGAGTTAATTTAAGTTCATCTTCCTTCAAAATGAGGTCACCAGCTTGGCACATGGTGGCTGTCCACAGACCCATTCAGCAGCCTGCTCCATTCTTCCACCTGACGGGGGGCAGAGGCGACCCACCAGGGGCCCCCGGCTAGACGTGAAATCGTAAAGCAATTAATCAAATCTGCTAAAAGGCCTGGCTGACAAGAGCAGGGCTGGCCACGCTATCTGTCAATGTTACTGTGTTTATCATGGAAATCCAGCAGGGGCCCGGGGAGGCTGCGTGTCTGTCCGAGGCCAGAGTCGGGAGAGAGGGGCCTGACCGTGTGCGGCTGCCTCTCTCTCCTTCATCCACAGACTCTACCAAGAAAAGCGAAGACCTCGCAGCCTGGGGTGCGTGCGGCAGCCACGGGGAGGTCATCCCCACGCACTTCTGAGGCCGCGATTAGTGTCTAGGGACAGGTCAGCGGCTGCTGGCCTCTAGGCTCCACGCGGGGTGACGGCGGAGGACACGCTGGGAGGGGCTGGCCTGCGAGCACCGGGGGTCCCCTGGGAAGCGGCACAGTGGAGCTGGTGAGGCTGCGGCAGCCTCGACATAAGGCGCGCTCTCAAGCGAAAACCTTCAACACCAACGGCTTCCAAAGACCAAGGGAGGTGTCGGCTGGATCCCGGCTCAGGGCAGTCCAGGGGAGGGCCAGCGGCACGTGGCGTGGCATGGCGTGGCCCAGAGCAGCTTGCAACGGATGCCCACCAGAGAAGCAAAAAACCCGCCTAGCTCCTGCCAGCGGCAAGCGGTCACCTTGATGAGGACCCGGCGCCAGGAGAGGCAGAAGGGGAGGGAAACTGCCCCGGCCCGCCGAGGACAGGCTGCGACCACCTCGCGTCTCTCGTGGACACCCCCAAATCGTGTTCCCTGTAATACTAGCACCCCTCAAGTAGCGGAGAGAAGATGGGCTGTGTTTCCTCCAAGTGCTTACAAGCAGGCAATGCAGGCCAACACAAACCCAGCTCCCGGCGGGGCCGCCCTTCCCACTGCAGGACAGAAAGTGCTCCCGCCCAGGGCCTCAACCCGGACGCCACCACGGGCACGTGCGCAGGACCAAGGCCAGCAAGACCAAGGGGGACACCAGAGCTGTCCCCAGTGAGTCTGTCACGACCCGCCGGGCCGCTCGCCTCCCGCAGGACGCCCAGCAGCTGGAGCTGCTCCAGCGGGTCCTGCTTTACGGCCTCTTCATCCTGGCGGCAGGGTGAGCGCAGCCTCGGAGGAGAGCCAGGCGCCAACAGGCCCCTTGGTGCTGGGCTGCGCGGGGGTGGGCGTGACCTGTCACCCCCCCCCCAGTCCCCAGCTACGACAGCGGGAGGTGCTGCGCGCTGGCAGAGGCGCTCACCTTTGCCTATGACGAGCCCACACTTATCTGCCGGCACCGTGTACGTTATCTCCTGGATGCTGCCCGGGGTTCCCATGCTCCAGTCTGCTCGGCCGCGGCCTCTTCCCCTGGCTACCGCCAGGCCGCCAAAGCCATCTCTCTCCTGGGAAGGAAGCAATGAGGTCTGGGGACGACTCCACCGGCACTACCCCCGGCGCTGCGTCGCAGGCGTCATGGCTGCCACACACTGAAGCCAAGCACTCGCCCACGCTTCCGACTCGGGAGCGCTCTCTCACACCAGGATTAACGCCGATCACAGGTGCTCCGAGGAGAGCGCGAGCGGATCCCCCACGTGGATGTGGATCTACACTGAGGAGGGCACGAGCGGATCCCCCGCGTGGATGTGGATCTACACTGAGGAGGGCACGAGCGGATCCCCCGTGTGGATGTGGATCTATACTGAGGAGGGCACGAGCGGATCCACCACGTGGATGTGGATCTACACTGAGGAGGGCACGAGCGGATCCCCCGTGTGGATGTGGACCTACACTGAGGAGGGCACGAGCGGATCCCCCGTGTGGATGTGGATCTACACTGAGGAGGGCACGAGCGGATCCCCCGCGTGGATGTGGATCTACACTGAGGAGGGCACGAGCGGATCCACCACGTGGATGTGGATCTACCCTGTGAGCACGAGCGGATCCCCCGTGTGGATGTGGACCTACACTGAGGAGGGCACGAGTGGATCCCCCGCGTGGATGTGGATCTACACTGAGGAGGGCACGAGCGGATCCCCCGTGTGGATGTGGATCTACACTGAGGAGGGCACGAGCGGATCCCCCGTGTGGATGTGGACCTACACTGAGGAGGGCACGAGCGGATCCCCCGCGTGGATGTGGATCTACACTGAGGAGGGCACGAGCGGATCCCCCATGTGGATGTGGATCTACACTGAGGAGGGCACGAGCGGATCCCCCGCGTGGATGTGGATCTACACTGAGGAGGGATGAGCGGATCCCCCGTGTGGATGTGGACCTACACTGAGGAGGGCACGAGCGGATCCCCTGTGTGGATGTGGATCTACACTGAGGAGGGCACGAGCGGATCCCCCGCGTGGATGTGGATCTACACTGAGGAGGGCACGAGCGGATCCCCCGCGTGGATGTGGATCTACACTGAGGAGGGCACGAGCGGATCCCCCGTGTGGATGTGGATCTATACTGAGGAGGGCACGAGCGGATCCACCACGTGGATGTGGATCTACACTGAGGAGGGATGAGCGGATCCCCCGTGTGGATGTGGACCTACACTGAGGAGGGCACGAGCGGATCCCCCGCGTGGATGTGGATCTACACTGAGGAGGGCACGAGCGGATCCCCCGCTGGATGTGATCTACACTGAGGAGGCACGAGGGATCCCCACGTGGATGTGGATCTACACTGAGGAGGGCACGAGCAGATCCACCACGTGGATGTGGATCTACACTGAGGAGGGATGAGTGGATCCCCCGTGTGGATGTGGATCTACACTGAGGAGGGATGAGTGGATCCCCCGTGTGGATGTGGATCTACACTGAGGAGGGCACGAGCGGATCCCCCGCGTGGATGTGGATCTACACTGAGGAGGGCACGAGCGGATCCACCACGTGGATGTGGATCTACACTGAGGAGAGCGCGAGCGGATCCCCCGTGTGGATGTGGATCTATACTGAGGAGGGCACGAGCGGATCCCCCGCGTGGATGTGGATCTACACTGAGGAGGGATGAGTGGATCCCCCGTGTGGATGTGGACCTACACTGAGGAGGGCACGAGCGGATCCCCCGCGTGGATGTGGATCTACACTGAGGAGGGCACGAGCGGATCCCCCGCGTGGATGTGGATCTACACTGAGGAGGGCACGAGCGGATCCCCCGCGTGGATGTGGATCTACACTGAGGAGGGCACGAGCGGATCCCCCGCGTGGATGTGGATCTACACTGAGGAGGGCACGAGCGGATCCCCCGTGTGGATGTGGACCTACACTGAGGAGGGCACGAGCGGATCCCCCGTGTGGATGTGGATCTACACTGAGGAGGGCACGAGCGGATCCCCCGCGTGGATGTGGATCTACACTGAGGAGGGCACGAGCGGATCCACCACGTGGATGTGGACCTACACTGAGGAGGGCACGAGCGGATCCCCCGTGTGGATGTGGATCTACACTGAGGAGGGCACGAGCGGATCCCCCGTGTGGATGTGGAATCTACACTGAGGAGGGCACGAGCGGATCCCCCGTGTGGATGTGGATCTACACTGAGGAGGGCACGAGCGGATCCCCGGGTGGATGGGATCTACACTGAGGAGGGCACGAGCGGATCCCCCGCGTGGATGTGGATCTACACTGAGGAGGGCACGAGCGGATCCCCCGTGTGGATGTGGATCTACACTGAGGAGGGCACGAGCGGATCCCCCGTGTGGATCTGATCTACACAAACAGTGCAAGATTCCCACTGAGATGGGTGGGCAGGCAGGAACCCCACGTAGAGGCCCTCAACCTTTTCTCTCTTTTTTTTAAAGTTCAGAACTTCGTGCTCCAATCTTTTTTTTTTTTTTTTTAAAGATTTATTTATTTACTTGAAAGAAAGATTTACAAAAAGGCAGAGGCAGAGAGAGAGAGGTCTTCCATCTGCTGGTTCACTCCCCAGATGGCTGCAATGGCCAGAGCTGCACCGATCTGAAGCCAGGGGCCAGGAGCTTCTTCCGGGTCTCCCTCATGGGTGCAGGGGCCCAAGGACTTGGGGCATCCTCCACTGCTTTCCCAGGCCGTAGCAAAGGGCTGGATCGGAAGTAGAGCAGCCGGGAGAGGAACTGGCGCCCATATGGGATGCCGGTGCTGCAGGCAGCGGCTTTACCCGCCACAGCGCAGGCCCCCTTTCTCTTTAGGGCCTTAGAGTGCAGGCCAGGCTACTCCTTCCGGTGGCCAACACACGCTGCACCAAGGTTCTGGGCCAGCGCGCATCGGGCACCTCATTAGGTGTCACAAACAGCCATGGCCAGGTGTGGCTTCTGACCTTAAGTAAACTGAGAAACAGAGAAGCTGACGCTGCGTGTGTCAGCACCCCTCACACTCAGGCCAACAGAGGACAAAAGGACGGTGAAGAACACCTGCTTGTCAGGCCCCAAAAGCAGCAGAATCATGTTTAACAGTGACTGCTTGGGCCCAGCGCTGTGGCTGCCGCAGCCTTGCTGGCTCCACTGCGCCGGTTCAAGTCCTGACCACTCCACTTCCGATCTGGCTCCTTGCTAACGAGCCTGGGAAAGCAATGGAAGATGGCCCGAGTCCTTGGGCCCATGCCACCCCGGTGGGAGGCCCGGATGGAGTTCCGGGCTCCTGGCTTCAGCCTGGCCCAACTCCGACGACGGTGTGAGTGAACCAGTGAATGGAAGATCTCTCTATCTGTAACTTTAAAGAAACTCTACTTTAAGACAAAAAGAGTGAGTCCCTGGAGCCCCCGTGCAGTGCCGAGTGCCAGACCCACCTGTGCCGTGAGAACCAGCTCGCTGATGACGTGGGCCGCGTGCTGACAGCGCTCCGGAGGGCCCACCACCTGCGCCGCCCTCTCTGGGCTGACGCCGTCATCTGTGGAAGTAGGCGAGTCGGGATTAGGACAAAGCCTTCACCGGAGGGACCCAGAGAGGCCGGCCAGAGGGGCTGGGTCTGTGGCCCCTCCCACGTAGGCAGAACGTCCCTCACAAGCAGGCTGCCGGCTGTGGCTGGAACGCCCATCTCCAGGCCGCTCCCCCAACAGCTCCTGGTGCTGCACGTGTGACTGACTTTGCAGCCTTAAACCACACCTTCAAGTTAATTGCCATCTTCCACCCAGAGCTCGCAGAGGGGGCCGAGCCCCTAAGGAGACAGTCTCCAGGAGACACCCCCCCCCCCCCCCCCCCGCTGCTATCTCCTTGAGCCCCAAGCCAATTAACACACCTATGTGAAACTCCTGTCTGATGGACGCCCCCACAGAATGATCCAATGAAAAAACAGTAATGCCTTAAAAACTAGGGACACTTCCTCAGAGCCAGTGTCCGCTCGGGCACTCCCCCTGGGCTCCTCTCTGATCAGACGCTTTCTCTGTCGCTTGCCAATCAAGTACAAGTTTCTGCCTCTTTGCGAAATGTTTCCTGGCTTTTCATGTCTGTACTAAGCTGAGGGAAAGAACCCACGAGACTCGCTCCGGCACCGCGCTCCCCCTTCCCTGTGCCAGTTCACACACAGGGCAGTCTGTCTGCACCGGGTGCGATGGGCGGTGAGGATGCCGCCAGCCCACGGGGCCCTGCGGCGTGGCTGGGCTCACACACACACACCCTCCCGATGCCCGGACAATACTCACTTCTCACAGAAACACCCAGCTTTAAAAAGACGCCATTAAAGAAATCAAACAAAAGTGAAGAACGAGAGTCTAGCTATGGTGATATTTTCCAAAAAGTAGCCCAAGGTATGCTCTCCTGTCTTTAAAGAGACGAGGAAAACAGAGTGCAGGACTGTACACTAAAGGTCAATTTATAAAATCTATTATAAAATGCTTGTCCTTTTTTGATTTCAAATGGCCTCTACTTATATAAAACAGAATGTGCAGGTGGTGTATTTTTAGAAACATCCTCTAACACTGAACGGGGCACAAGCTGGAACCACGCTGCTTCCCCTCCGCTCCCACAGTCCAGGAGAAAAGACAGCGTGGGACGCCGGGGCGAAGGATTCTGGCCACAGAAAGGCTACGAAGGCAGCAGAATTCAGAGACAAGAGCCAGAAGACACCTGGACACGGATCATGAAAGTTACACGAGGACTTCAAAGACACACTGCAGCAAAATAAGCAGCTAACTGCATCCCCGGGCCCCGGTGTGCGCGGTGTGACGCAGGCCCTGGTCTCCGGCAGAGGCCCAGGGCTTCTGAGACCCGCGGCAGCCAACCTGGTCTAAACTGGATCCTCACGCCGGCGTCGCTCTGGATCTTCTTGATCGTCTCGCCGTTCCTTCCTATGACAATCCCGACAGCAAACCTCGGCACGGACACCTCGGCACAGACAGACAAACCCGTCAGAGCTTCCCATGACTCTGCTCGTCTCTAAAGGTCACATTAAGATGAGACGGTGTGCATTCCTCAAACGATATGATACAGCACAGTTCTTCCTCTGAGGAACAGTAGTGTGATCAGTGACTGCTGTTGTTGCCATTTAATGTTGATTTATTTTATTTGAAGGTCAGAGTTAGAGAGACAGAAAGAGAGACATCGTCCATCCCGCTGTTCACTCCCCGTCAGGCCAGGCCAAAGCCAGGAGCCTGCAACTCCATCTGGACGTGGGTGCAGGGACAAGCACTGGGCCACATCCGCTGCTCTCCTAGGCAACAGCAGGGATCTGGACTGAAAGTAGAGCAGCGCTCACACGGGATGTCGGCATCACAGGCAGTGGCTTACCCTGTGGTGCCCCGAGGCTGGCCCTGACAGCTGCACAGTCTTGACTATGAAACGCGACTAGTAAGCCTGAGGTTTGATCAAAATAGTGAAAGATGAAGTCAAGAATAAGTCACAGGGCCAGCGCTGTGGCGTAGTGGGTTCAGTCTCCACCTGTGGTGCCTGCATCCCATATGGGTGCCAGTTTAAGTCCCAGCTGCTCCACTTCTGATCCAGCTCTCTGCTGTGACCTGAGAAAGCAGTGGAAGATGGCCCAGGTCACTGAGGCTCCTGCACCCATGTGGGAGACCTGGAAGAAGCTCCCAGCTCCTGGCTTCAGATTGGCCCAGCTCTGACCATTGCAGCCATCTGGGGAGTGAACCAGTGGATGGAAGAACCTCTCTCTCTCTGCCTCTCAAACAAATAAATAAACATTAAAAAAAAAAAAAAAAAAAAAAAAGAAGAAGGAAGGTTTTGCAGACAAGACAAGACTACTTGCTCAGGGCTGCAGGGCAGACACAGGATGGCCCGCACCCTCGCTGAACCCAGTCTGCCCCAGGCGGGGGCGCAGGCATACCTCCATGCTGCCGCCTCCTAGCCGCGAGCTGAAGTCGCCGCGGACACCTCGGAAGTCAGCTGGGTCTTTTTCTCGGATGATCTCCAGCACCATCTCTCTCGCTTGCTGCACAAACACAAGTACAAGGCATTATGGAAAACATGCACACACGAGATGAGGACACGGGTGACATTTCGAGAGGAAACTCTCCCAGCGAGGCTCGCTCACTGCGGGGCAGGCAGCTGGGCAGCAGGAGCTGAGCTGGCTGCTGGAGAAGCAGGCACGCGGCACGCGGCACGCACCAGTTGGAAATGTGCGCGCTGCACTGCCCAGAATGCACCACAGGGCGGGGTCAGCAGCGGTGCCCACTGCCCTCAGGTGCTTTCTGCCGCCATCCATTCCAGCAGGGCGGTTGTCTGAGCTCCAGTTACAGAGAGCTGCACGAGACGGACGCCTCCACCAAGGCCTCACTCCACATGGCCGCTCCAGAGGGGGACGGAACAGCTTCTAGCGCTCAGAATTCTTATTTCTTAGCTAAAAGATTTCAGTGACCACTGGACTGCCTCGTGCATCCTCACCCCCGCCAGGCCACCCCCGTCCCATTCCTGGCAGGGTCTGCAACCGGGGCCAACTACAGCTAACAGCCCAAGGCAACGTGGGAGCGAAGACCAAATCCTGGCTGCGGAAAGAACACTAAACCCACCACCAAACAGCACCGACAGTCACCGGGTATCCGGAGGGGTCCGACCAGACACTGACGGACTCCCGCAAGATTTCTCAGGCCTGGTTATTCTTAGGAGACGTGTGCTGATGAGCCACGCTCCCGCTCGGGCTCTCTCCCCGACTCTCACGCCAGCGTCCAATGTGCGGCGGGGGGAGAACGGGGGAGGGGTCCGATGCTCCCTGAGTGGCTCAGCTGTGGACGGCACCTGCTCACCAAGGCGCATGGCCCTGGCGCTGGGCAGGCCGCTGACGTGGCAGGAAGACCGGCGTCCGTAGCTCCCTGAGAACAGACGCCGCTGCCCACTGCACCAGCAGGAGGTGGGCCACCCCCGCTGACGAAACTCAGCCCTCACTGCTTCCAGCACGTGGGCCTCCTCCCAGGCAGCCCACACGCAGGGTGCAGGCTCAGGGCACTCCAGCCTGTGTGGCTCTGGAACCTGTGCCCCCTCCAGCCCCAGCCAAGGGCTTGCAAAACGGCTGACAGAGCGAGACGCACAACAGCCAATGCAGGCCAGACGGCGTGCACCAGAGCCGACGACAGGTCAGCATATCAAACGCGCCTGATGAGTGCCACCCACAGACTCTCTGCACCCGGGAGGCATTCCGTGCCGCTGCCCAGGGTGCTGCTCCCGAGCACCTGGGATATGGCCAGCATCCACGAGGGCTGACTTCTCATTTAATCGGAATGAACTTAACACAGGCAGGTTCATCACCAAACCTGGTTTAGGAGCACAGCCTACCCTAAAGAAAGGAACATCCAGTTTCAGAGTTCCTTCAGTAAGACGCAAGCTCCGGGTTACCACGTGACACCTCGCATCCTCTTTCCTACCTGCACTTTAAAGGGGTCTCCGGTGATGCGAAGAGGCTTGTCCGCCCCCGTGGGCAGCGGGCCGTCCTGGATCATGACCATTTTCACACGAGTCCGCTCCTGGGGGAACACAGCAGCACAGCCCTCAGTGTGGCGAGGGAGGAGGTCGGGTCCAGGAGGCTGGGTGGAGGCACAGACCTTCGGCCTAGTGCTAACACGCCACTTGGGACGCCTGGATCCCACACTGCAATCCCTGGGTTCAAGTTCCGGCTCGGTTCCAAATTCCAGCTCCCTGCCAACCTGCACCCTAGGAAGCAGCAGGTATGGCTCAAGCAGTTGGGTCCCTGTCACCCACGAAGAGGATCTGGGTTGAGTCCCTGGCTTCTACTTTGGTTTGGTCCAGCCCTGGCCACTGAAGGCATTGTAGGCATTTGAGGGAGTAAACCAGAGGATGGGCTCTCTCTCTCTCTCTCATGGCTCAGGTATGTCCACAGTAAGCCAAACCCCACTGTGGCCCGGCACCGGCTTCTGACCAGGACCACAAAGATGGCGTCTGGGAATGCAGAGCTATGGGCCACGCCAGACGCTGTCTGCACACAGCGCAGGAAGCTGCCACTCCCGGTCCTCTTGTTCTGGTCCTAGGACATCTGGACATCAACGACCTGTTTTTACAGGATGTTACCCACCACTCCAAGTGCTCCAAGACATCCGATTAGAATTCCCCCATGACTGTAGGGGAAGCGCTACCTTCTTCCCACTCCACAGACCAAGGGCACTCTGCCAGCAGCTGGGCTGCCCCGGTTCCACAGCTAACAAGAGATGCACTGAAACGCGGCTCCTGGGACCACCAACCCTGAACTGTGAGATTCTGCAGTGGAGTCTACGCTAGGCCATCACTTACAATCCAAGGCCCATGTCAGGAGAGAATGACAGACAGGCCCCAACCTCACCTGCAGCTGTAAAAATAAAATAAAATACAAAGCCCCCCACTCAGAGCTACAGGTCTGTTCATAACTCATCTGGCAGCAGAGCTGAGCTCATGGGAGCGGACTTCCAGTCCTCCTCCAGTGGAGTGGCTGTTCCCACATTCACCTATGGAAACGTGCGTTTGAGGAGAGGTGCAGCTGGTGCTTCCTGAGGGTGTTAAATGGGCCCCAAGCATCTCAGACAAGGGATTCTGGAGCTAACAGCGGGCAGCATTCATGGAGCATGAATGTCCCGTCAGGACAACAGGCGCGCACTCTCCCTCTCACAGGCAAGGCTCCTGACCCTTGGGAAAGTGAGCGAGCACACCCGAGACTGTACAGCGAAGGCAGGGCCCCGCCTCTGCACACTACACCGTCTACTGTAAGAGCACCCGCAGTGAGCTGCCAGTGGCTGCACACTTGCCCTGGCACCTGGCCTCAGCCCCGTCATGCTCAGGAACAAGGTGGAAGCCCCTGGGCACAGGCCCGAGCCCGCAGCTCGCGTACCTGCAGCTGCTTTATGGTCTCCCCTCCTTTGCCGATGACCAGACCCACTTTAGACGCAGGGATGAGAACCTCCTGGATCGTGCTGTTGCCATCTACGTCGTTATGAAAGCCGGGGCCGTTCCGACAGCGATCCACGATCTGCCCCAGGAGCCGCTTGGCTTGTCTTTGGGGAGAAGAACCACAGAGAGGCGGCGTTAAAGGACCGCTGCAGGCGCAGGGGAGGGAGCCAGCAGCGAGGGGCACGGCGTCAAGGCAGCCCTGCGTCCAGTTCCAGCTCCTGCCCCCACAACCCGAGGGGCCTTCCGCCACCTGCCGCGCTGTGGGCTGGATTCAAAAGCAGCACACAGACGCGAGGGCACGTCCCAACACGGAGCCTCAGCGGGGCTGCTGCGGGGCCCCGCCCACTCACAGGGTTACACAGGCTTGTGAGGGAAGAGCAGGAGAGAGCAGTGAGGAGGAGGAGGAGAAAGCGAGCGCGGGTTAGTAGCCGTCGTTTCGACTCCCCAACTCCAGGTTTCTTCTCCACAACCAGCCGACTGCTCTGACTCTGAGGTGAGGCTGCCGTCAGCACCCGCGTGCCGGAGGCGCCGGGGGAGGCAGTGCCCGCGGCGGCTGCGCACGCACAGGCACCTACCTGCTCTGGGCTGCTCGCGTCAGCCGGGCAGGACCCTGCACGCCACGTGCCGAGCCCTTCGTGCCGATTTATTTGGGTGGGGAAGGCAGAGCGAGAGGCTGTGGCGGTGAAGGCAGCCGCCAGCGCCGTCTGCCGGGCCGGTTTCCTTTTCTGCACCAGAATCCCCCTGCCTGCCGTCCGCCGCGCTCCCGCGCGCACTCGCTATGTGCAGCCTATGTTTCGGTTCCCCTGCCGGACAGGAATTCAGCCACTCGACAGGCTGGCTGTACTGCGCAGAGGAAAACGAACATTTCCTCCTCAAGGTACACTCCCACTGCCTTGACTCTTCGGGCAGACACGAAGCAGGAATGGTTAGAAGAACAGGAGAAAAAGAAAGGCAGGACACAGATGTTGCCTCGTGCAGTTTGCACAGAATCAGCTCCAGGTATCTTCTCAGTCACAGCAGCTTTTTAACATTTTGCCCGTGTGCTAGATCGACCTCTGTTGGGAGGAAAATGCCTGGAGTCCAGCGAGGCCGCGCTGGCCCTGGCCCTGGCCCGCACACCTGGCGGCAGCGTCTGTTCCGGTACACCGCTCGTGGGGCTGAGCTCAGCCAGGCTGCCTGACACAGGGAAACAGAACGCCCACCTGTCTCCTGAGCTGGCCAGAGCCTGGCGCCCTGTGCCCCGACACAAGGCCACGGAGCAGACTGGAAAAGGAAAGCAGGTCAAGCCACTCGAGTGCGTCCGGGACACGGCTCCGAGCACACGGGCGGCGGGGTGGGCGACAACGCGGTCCAAAGGCTGCTGTCCAAGGGCCCCGCTGGCCGGTCCGTCCTGCCCCTTCTGAGTGCAGCCAGGCCGGGAAGGGGGAGTCGCTTGGTCCACAAAGACCAGACGGACAGGGGATTGGCCTCAGGCAAAACACACGGTCTGAGGACTCAGCGGCTCAGAGCGACAGCCTTACTAATCCAGTCCTGCTCAGGTGAAGGAGGCGTGACCAGGAAGAAGTAGGGTGATTAGAGTACTGGGGGTGAAGGCACACTCCTGAAGGCTGGCTCACAGAGACAGATGTTGTGACAGCTGTGAGACACTCTGGAGGGTTTGGAGAGAAGACGGGACCTCGTGGATTACAGGAACAAAAGCTGCCTGGCGTGGCCCCCGTCTGTCCTCTAGCATCTGCCCGTGTGCCAGACTGCAGACAGCCGGTGTTCAGTGACAGTTCTGCCCTGCCGTTTCTCCCCACTTGGGGAAGAAGGAAGAAGAGTGAAAGGAAAAAGTAAATAAAATAAACTTACTCAATACTTTCTGGGGTTCCGGTAAGTACACAGGGCCTCTCTGGAATCCCAGAACTCTCTACAAGAAGAATCAAGAAGATGAGGTGTGTTGGTGGGCACCAGGCGACGGTGCACCGACTGTCCCTTACAGCCGCCAGCCTCCCAGAACACGGCTGCGCCTGCGCCTGCGCCTGCTCGCAGCGTGGCACTGAGCAGGGGCTCTGCCTAGGTTCTCCAGGTGGAAACAGGCCCCGTGGGGGAGGCTGGAGCACGCAGCGGACATTTGTAAGCTGGCTGCATTGGGACCCGTCCACGTGCCAGTGACTGCAAGTCGCCGTATCCTGCCAGTCCTCCGTTCCACGTTTGCAGAGCACTTGAACGGTCAGGTCTGCAAGCAGCGCTGTGGTGCACGAGTAAGGAATTTAGGGTCCTCACCTAGTGACGGTGGGAACATCCCAAGAGACCTGTGACAACTATGTGCAACTGGTTCTGGGCCATGTGACAAGAGGAAAAAAGTCTTACTTTCCAACACCACACAACACGCTTTACTGTGTTCCTGAGAAAGCTGCTTCTTGAAACCCTTCTTTAAAAAACAAAAACAAAAACCACGAGAGGGAAAGAGCCAACAGCAGCTACTGCCTTCGAGACGCTCCACTCAGCGTCCTTTAAATGACAAGTGTTTACTAGTCCAGGGTCCCACAGACCTCTGCTGTCACGACACACGGAGGTCAGGCTGCAGTGAGATGATCAAACTGTAAATCGAATCAAAACCGCACTTCAGTCGGTCTCTCCCCATTGCACTGTGAAAACAGAGCCCGCTGGAAGAGGCCCATTTGAAACGTGCTCCCCACACTCTAGCTCAGCGCGAACCCCAAATGTCCTCTCTCTACAGAGAGACGGGCTGGTCCTGTCCAGGGAGCTGCTGTGCGGTCCCTGGGGCGATCTGAAGCCACAGGGCTCCTGCAGGCCCCGCGCTGTCTGCCATAGCATTCTGGTGCAGAAAACACAGGCCCTAGAGAGGCAGGTGTTGGGCAGGGGCCCCGCCTGGCCACAGAACTGTGGGAGGGTCCACACTGGAAGCCAGACGGAGTCTCCGACTCTGGGCGGCTTCTGCTCCAGTCTTTCTGGAGCTCATCTGAGAGCCCAATTCCAGAAGTGCGAGGACGACAAATTGCATATACTTACCCACACCCCTAAACATCTAAGCAACAAGCCAAGGGACAGAAACCAGGAAACCTCACAAAACACTGACTTCTATCAAACAGATCTGTGAAAGAAGGAAATCCTTACCTGAAGCAATCTGAATTTTGCAACCAGATTCGGCCTGAATCCGTGAGATCTGCTCACCTCCCCTGCCGATAACTGCAACAGATTGAAATGGGTCAGAATCTGCCTTCTGCTCCCCACGTAACCGTGCGTGAATGGCTTAATTAATTCAATAAACATTACACTTGGCTCACAGCACCACCAGTCAAGCTGGCCCCCTCAAGTCTCTGGGCACCACGGCAGCAGTAGCTGCGTGTTAAGTACAGCAGATAGGCACAGGGCATTCTGGCTGATGGGGGGTGCCGAGAAGGGTAGGGTCCTGGCCCAACACTCCGGTCTCTCTCAGCCAGGAGAGGGACCGGCAGCATCTCGGGCTGCAGAGAACACACGTGAAGAGCGCTCTGCTACAGGGGACGCCCCGACCGGAGGTCACGACAGAAAGGACAGACAGGAACCGGGGGAGGAGCGGGTGAGGCAGATACTTACTAAATCCTACCATTTTATCAGGCACTTTGAATTCTTCTGTTATTACTGCCCTAAAAACAAAGAACATTTTGGAGAAATTACAGAATACAGGATTTCCCAAACTCCCCATCCTGCCAGTGTTGCAAGATCAAGGCTTGCAAGAAATCACGCCAATCTGGCCAAAAAATCCACCCGCACCTGCAGTGCCACTCCCTCCCTCCCTGGAAAGATCCAAGCCTCCTCTCTCCTTGCGCCTCAGGAAGAACCCGCCAATCTTTCACTAAACCATCAACTCCTCTAGCAGCTGCCTTTCCCCACGCGGCTCCTCCCAGCATCCCTTCTAGCCCGCAGTCCTCTCTTGGGCACGGGCCGTCAGTCCCAGGACCCACGGGGACACTGTGGGGCTTGGGGAGATGCTCAGACTCCATCTCAATGCCTCCTCTCGGGGACGAGGCAGACTCGCGACTGCTCTCCGACATGCCTTGCTTCCCAATCCTACTACCGTGACTTCTGGCCTGTCTCCAAATTACCCACCTATCTACCAGGGTACGATGCCCCCAGTGGCACCAGCATCCAACAAAGGCCTAATCAGCGCCAAGCAGGACACAGCGACGGACGCAGTGAGCCTGCAGGGCAGTTCTGGGTAATGCTGCCCCATGCATCATGTCCCTTTCTTTAAAACAACTACTGTACTGGCTCTCTCAAACCTTTGAATTTGCCATAGTGTATTGTGGACAAGATCCAATTTGTCCGACACCCCAGAAAGCAATTAAATCTAAACATTTACCTTAGGAGGAAACTAAATGCAAGCAGTTAAAAAAAAAAAAAACAAGCAAGCATTTTTAAACATCTTTCGCACAGCCGGACTTCTACCCACCGTGGGAAGGACTGAATAAAGCACGTTTTTAGGGCAAGTGCGAAGTGCAGTGCTTGGAAGAAACGCAACAGCAGAGACAGCACTCGCCACGGCTTCGTGTTCATGGGAGCAGCTTCCTGGGGGCTCACAACTCAGCGTACAGGCGAGGAGGGATTCTCAGTCTCTTAGATATACGTGGTCACCCCCAAACCAGGCCTTTCCTGGCCTCCTACCCACACGACAACGATCTAACGCCAACGCTCGCTGGCCTTCCTGTCCCCTGCGAGGGCAGCTGCAGCTCTGGACATGCAGCCACGAGGTGCTGCTCCCATCACGTGCCCCATAGTCGCTCCTGCTCTGGGACCCACGTGACCATGCGAATCAAGGTGCCAGGAGGCGCTCCGGGCTTCCGGGAGGAAAGGCCCTGCTCTCAACACAAGCCTGCGACTCACCACATGCACGCAGTCCAGACACCTGGAGACAAGAGCCCGGCACCTGTGGCCTCAGGGACCACTAGCAGGCAAACCCAGAAACCGGCTTCTTTCCATTTTCATTTATTAACAAACAAAACGGAGCAAACAAGGAAAGAACTAGGAGAGAAGCCAGGAGAGCTCTTCCGGGTCATGGCTGCTTGGTGGTTACCAGGGCTGTGTCACTGCGAGTGAGGTGAGGAACGCGTTACGGGAGCCAGCCGTACGCAGGAGGACTCGGCACAACTCCCAGTGCACTGTTCCCTTTTCCACGGAGGACTCGGGACCACAAACCTCCGATCTCCTGGACTGGCCTATCTCTGAATTCCCAACGTGCAGAGGAAGGTCCCGAGGGACGCAGAGGCAGAGAATCCGGGGGCACCCGGCGAGCTTCTCTGGCAGGTCCCCTCGTGGCCCACACTGCCCTGCCCCGACAGCATCTGGTCAGGGCCGGCACCTGGTGCTTCAGAACATCTCTTCGCGAGAAGAGGCTAAGGATTCCCAAGAAACTGAGGACCCCTAAGCCAGGAGGAACAGTTCACATTCTTTCCCTCTAGTTAAACGTACGTCAGAAGAAAGACCGACTCCGCTCCCCTCCGAGTCTGCATGTGCAAGTCTGTCTGGCGTTGATCCCTTGTGTCGGTTTGTTCCTTGAGCTTACACGGTCTTGGAAGGGGCTAGCAAAAACCTCGAGTCTTAAAGAAATCTAGCCCGTGGTTTTCCACACTCCCAACCTCTGACTTTCTAACACTCTAGTACAGATGGTGGATCAATAAACAATTAGAAATGATCAATAAATAATAAAACATAACCCACTGCTTACCTTTGATGTACCAGGGCCCCTAACTGGTTACCTACTGTGGCAAAGAGAAAGAGAAAAGAAAAATCAAAGCATTAGCACGGATAAACTAACTTCATCTTTATATGAGTTCTTACCACTTCGGGGGAAGAAAAGGCAGAAAGAAAGAAAGCAAACAGTAATTTAGGCTCAGTGGCTGAGATGAATGCGTTACATGATACGAAACAGGAGGGGACGTCTTGATCAACAGTCTCTAACCCAGTGTCCAGCTGAACGCAGGATAAAAAATTGATCTGTGTGTGCACATGCTGAGAGGCCTGGGAGAAAATCCTGCTTGCCTAAATCCCTCTAACTTCCTGCCTCCCTCCCGCTCTGGATCCAAACTCAGTGAGAGCTCCCCCCTCTTTTAAAAACAAATGAGAAGCTCCAACCCCCTCGGCAGCATTGTCCGGGGCTCTGCGGCAGCTGCGGCCGCTAAGAACGGGCACATATGTTCTGCTGGACGCAGCCGGGGACGCCCCAGCAGCAGAGCATCTCCACCAGAGCCTCCGGCCGCCTCCAGCCCGGGCCGTCGTGGACACGAGAGCGAGCCACTGCCTCCCAAGCCCGGTCAGAGACAACGGGGCCCAACAGCCTCTTAGCAATCACAGCCCCACACAGCCACTGTCGCCACGCTTTTCGTTCCAGCTTCTCCTCTCCTAGACGCTGATGAACGTCTCCTTCACCAGCCCTCAGCAAAATGAGGCATCGCTCTTCAGGAAACACAGCCAGCGAACGAGTGTGAACCCTAAAGACATTAGGGCGGACTGCAGGACTCCGACAAGACGCTACAAAGCGCTCTGAAAACACGTCTCTGGCAGAACTTATCCTAAGGACAGATAGAGATGAGTAGGGAAGGATCCATTCCACCACTTTCGGACAGTGACATGGTCTGATGTCTGACACACACAGCTTCAACCTCTTTCTGTTCAAATTCAACCCTACCTTCCTCTGTCGACAGCAGCTAGTCATGAAGAGACAAGGGAGAGAAACCAGATCATGATATTCTAAGGAGAGAAAATGCATAGGGAAACAATGCTAGCAAAAAGTAAAAGTGAGTGGAGCTACTGAGTCAATAAGTATTATTCCTTCTGGATCAATAGCAAGATAACGTTCTGCAGCCACAGTATTGACACGGTACTATCAACCTGCTTATCTTGGGGATAAGAGATTGTTTTGTATTGAATCTTCAAAATTTCCCTCCTGCACGTCCAGCTGGAATGTGACACACGCTCTCGTATGGGTCAGGCAGCTCAGGGAGGGCTCAGCCCTGAATGACCCAAAGAGGACGTCCACTGCGGGAGCCCGCGGGGAGGAGCAGGAGCCCGTCGCTGACGCAGCGCCCACGAGTCTGGGCAGCCGTCCTCGTTCCAGGCGGGAATCCCTCTCTCAGTGAGTGCAGAGCCCACTGGAGACAGAGCAACAGAGCTGTCTCGCAGTGACCACGGAGGAGACAGGCTTGTTCCCAAAAGACCAAGGAGGCAGGGCTGCGGCACCTGGTTCCCTGTGCTGCTGGGCCAGTGACATAAAAAGGCTGACGATGGGAGAAGTGCTTGGCGTACTGGCTAAGCTGCTGCTCGGGAGTGGCTGAGACCAAGTCCCACCTCTGATGCCAGCGCTGCCCCTGCACACACACCTGGGGAGGCAGCCCGATGGCTGAAGTTCCCGGGTCCCTGACAGCCACCCGGGGACCCGGCTGTAGTATCAGACTCTTGGTTTCGGCCTGGCACAGCCCCAGCTGCTGTGGTTATTTAGGGAGTGAACCAGTGGATGGAAGATCTTTTTTCTGTCTCTCTGCCTTTAAAATAACAAAGAAAGTAAATAATTAAAAAAAAAAATAAAATAAGCCGGTGCCGCGGCTCACTAGGCTAATCCTCCACCTTGCGGCGCCGGCACACCGGGTTCTAGTCCCGGTCGGGGCGCCGGATTCTGTCCCGGTTGGACCTCTTCCAGGCCAGCTCTCTGCTGTGGCCAGGGAGTGCAGTGGAGGATGGCCCAAGTGCTTGGGCCCTGCACCCCATGGGAGACCAGGAGAAGTACCTGGCTCCTGCTATCGGATCAGCACGGTGCGCCGGCCGCAGCGCGCCAGCCGCGGCGGCCGTTGGAGGGTGAACCAACGGCAAAGGAAGACCTTTCTCTCTCTCTCTCTCTCACTGTCCACTCTGTCAAAAACTAAAAAATAAAATAAAAACACACACACACACACACACAAAAAAACAACTCCCAGAAAATTTCTACTAAGGAAAAAAAAAAAAAAAAGCTGGCTGATGATCTTCCAGTGTTTCTGTCTGAGCCAGGAGAGCCACTGAGACAGGGAAAGGGATGATGCTACCATAAAGGACGCCGTGAGACTTGCAAGCATGGTCACAGGGCTTCTGTTCAAGCCATTCACGATCCTGCTCATCAGAAACATGGACAGCCCCGTGTGACGGCAGAGCGTGTGGCACAGGTGCCAAGCACACGGCACCACTTCTGCCGGCCGGCTGCTTTGCTGACAAGGGGAGTGCCCACACAGGCACACACTGAAAGCGCTCACGCCATCATCCCAGAGGAGCCGTGCTGTGAGGAATGAAATCAAATTCAAATCCAGTGTCAACTCTGAGCTGGTGGACCCCTAAGAAGGCCAACCTGTCTCCCTCCTCCATGCCAGTGCTGCAGCCCAAGGCTGTAATGCATGACCTAAAGTTTCATTCCCTTGGGAAACAGTCCCATTCGGTACCTGAAAATGAAAACCAGCAGTTAGACGGCGCTCAGAAGCAAACCACCATGTCTGACTCCAGAAAGGGAGACCGCTCCCGTCTTCCTGGCCAGGAGGGTTCCCGAGGAGGCAGATGGGGACACCGATCAAGCTCAATTTAATGGTAACTGCAGTCATTTTACTGTGAAAAAGGGAAAATGCTGAATAAAATCACTCCAATTTCCCGTTACTGGTGCACACTGGCCAGCAATGCACCCCCTTGCTTCCCAAGTTCCCCTCAGCTCAACTCCAGCGCACGCGCACACACAGGTGTGGGTCTCATTTGCTCTGCACACTCTGTAATACACAGCCGCCTGGGCCACGGACGGAAAAATGACCTTCTCACAAGGCGAGTCGTCCCACGATATGAGACAGTCTTCCTGCCCGGTAATACTCTGCCAATTGCAATAATCGTCTTAAAAAAAATCAGGGGGCCAGATAGATTTTTTTTTCTATTAACATGGAGGAAAAGTCTTCATTTTGTTCCTCCAAAGAAATGCCAACAAAACACCACAGGGAAACATGCCCGTCTTCCTGATAGGAATCCATTTTAACAGTCACGCCCACCCCCCAAAGCCCAAGGAAGCACTAAGGAGCCCTCACGAAGCCGAAGCCCGGGCTGGCGCACGGGCAGCAGTGGGAGGCAGGGAGGGAACCATGCCCTCAGTTTTTATAGGACTGGCAGAAACAAACAAACAAACGGAAACTTCCTCTTCAGATTGTGAAAACAATCGTCCCCATCCTCCTTTGGAATCCGGCCTCTTCCGACTCTTTCCGAGCCCCTAAGGTCAGTAACACACAGAGTTAGCTGTGCAGATTCAAAGCATTTTTAAAAAGCTTTTCTCCCAGGGTCAATACAAAGGCTTCCTGTGTTCTAGGCAGCCAGGCTCGCCCCTGGGCCACAGAACACTGATATGCTGCCTGTAGCCCAGAGGCCCTTGGAAAGTAATCTGTTATCAAGTTTGCAAGTTACTTTTTTTTAAGTAAGAGTAAATTCAAACTTATCTTAAAAATGCCACTCTGACTTTGTAGCTTGCTGTGGTTTTGGGAGTGGCAAAGCCCGGCATCAGCAGCCACACTGGGACCTCATCTGCTCACTCATGCAGTCCCACAGGAGACCAACGGGGAGGGGGCACCTAGACCCCCATTCCCACTCTGAGGAGGAGAAAGGCACAGTCCCATCTAGGTGAGGGGTTTGTGCTGCGCCCAAGTGAATGCCCCACCCACCCTGCCCCCCCACCCTTGGCCTTGGGGTTTCAACACTTCCACTCTTCAGCGCTGCTGAAGGTACTAAGTTGCTGTGCTAAGTTCCAGCGATAAAATCCAACAAGACAAGCTTTGTCCTCAAAGAGCTTGGAGTCTAGAGGAGAGAGCAAAGAACCGGGCGATCAGGACAGTGAACCTGGGCTCCAGGGGTAGAGGGCTCATTGGGACCTGTGCCTCACCCACACACACAGTACCTGTCCAAGAGCAACAGAGCGACATTAAGAAGAAAAGTAATCTAAGGCACTATATTCTCAGCATCATGCCTTATTTTCATTTAAGCAGTGGTCATAAAATCCATGGCGGGGTCATTGGATGCAGGGGCCCAAGGACTTGGGCCACCTTCCACTGCTTTCCCAGGCCAGAGCAGAGAGCTGGATCAGAAGTGGAGCAGCCAGGACTCGAACTGGCGCCCATAGGGGATGCCGGCACTGCAGGTGGTGCCTTTATCCGCCACGCCACAGTGCCAGCCCCAGGATCTAAGTACTGGAACCATCATCTGCACCTCCCAAGATGCACAGTAGCAGGAAACTGGCCTGGAAGTAGCGTAGCTGGGACTTGGAAGCAGGCATCCCAGAGCCACTTAGCTGCTGAGCCAAACTCCTGGCAATACCAGTATTTTTCATACTGTGAATTTTTTTTTTTTTTAAAGATTTATTTATGTGAAAGGTGGGGTTACACAGAGACAGAGGCAGGCGGGGGTGGGGGGAGGAGAGAATGAATCTTCTACCTGCTGGTTCATTTCCCAAATGGGCACAACGGTCAGGGCTGGACCAGATCAAAGTCAGGAGCTTCATCCAGGTCTCCCACGTGGGTGCAGGGGCCCGAGCACTTGGGCCATCTTCTGCTGCTTTCCCAGGTGCATTAGCAGGGAGCTGGATTGGAAGTGGAGCAGCTGGGACTCAAGCCGGTGCCCATGTGGGATGCTGATGCTGCAGGTGATGGCTTAATCCACTAAGCCACAGCGCCAGCCCCTGTATTCACTGATGTATTTGAAAGGCTGAACAACAGGGAGGGAG